TATATATATATATTAAATAGTTTGTGTACCATTATAATATTACTGTACTTTCACATACTCAAATATAGTATGCTTTAAATACACACCAAACATACTTAAACTTTATAAGTAACAGTTAAACAAAAAGCAAAAACGACATATAGGATAGGGAAAAAAGTAAAAAAGTGTAAAAAATTAGGACCATCTTTATTTCTGAAATGAAAACTACAACTTTCTACAAAGTAACTTTTCTTGTTTTTTTGTTGGCAAATTCTTCAATGACATTGTCAAAAACTATTTCATCTGTCAATTGTCGCTCTATAGACAGTATGGCAAGATTTCTCAACCGCAAGGTGCTCATAGTAGATCTTAAGTAATTCTTGATCAGTTTTAGTTTCGAAAAACTCCTCTCACAGGTAGCAACACTAACAGCAATTGTGAGGAAAATCCTCAGCATTATTACTATATTTGGAACCGAGTTCCCAAGGTTATACTTTTGAATAAACTGCAAAAGTTCAAGGGGGCCTTCTTTCCACGTCTGTATTCTGTCTTTAATAGTTATAGCAGCAACAGCAACAAAATGCTGAAGTCTTTTTCTCTCAACGAGGAACTCCTCTTTATCAATGTCGTCGTGATCGTGATCTATTTGACACTCATATTTATCATCCAAAAGATTCAATGGGGTAAGGAAGGCATATTTCTCAGCAAGTTCATGAAGCTGTTGAAATCTCAAAGTTATTTCTTGGATCACTCTGTCCAGCGAAGAAAACATTTCTCTCCTCAATTCAATGTCGTATGGCAATTCAGCATCTCGTGATCCTTCACCAAACATTTGTTTCTTCTTTTTGGGTCGACGCTGACGCTCCATGACTATCCCCAGATCATTGCAAATTTCTTTGGCATAGTTAACTCCATTACTCACTAGCTTGTCCCTGTTTTCAACTAGAAATGTTTCTAATGCCCTGAGTTTTATATCACATTGTTGTATGTTCAAGCCCTTGGTTTGGAGGTAAGTCTGTGTGTCGTTAATTTCTAGAAGGACGGGTCCCCACAGGCCAAGAAAGCACAAAAAGGAAAATGATTGCAACGCACCAAGTAGAACACCAGCATCTGCCCTGGTAGCTGTATTTTCTTCTTCACCAGTTAACTTTTCTAGGGCACTTAAGATTTTTGAGAAATGTTTCTTTACAACACTTACAGCTTCTCCCCTCGCACTCCACCGAGTTTCTATTATGCGCTTGACACTTTGACCAGTGACTGAAGTTAGAACATCCCAGCGATGGGTTGATGAAGAAAAAATACAAACAAACGTTCCACACATCCAAAAAAGGTAACAGAATTCACAGCAACAGAAGCTGCATGAACACCCGCCAAATTCAGCGAGTGATTTGTACAAGCGACAAATTCTGCTTTTTTATTAATTTCCTTGATACATTTCTGAACACCAGTATGAACACCAGCCATCACCGCAGCATTATCATATGCTTGCCCTCTACAATTTTGAATATCAATTCCGTCTTTCTCTAATTTTTCCAAAATCATCATTGAAATATTCTCGGCGGTTTTACCTTTTGTTTCAATGAAATCGACAAATGATTCCACAACCTTCACTTTATCTCCATCGATCATAACATAGCGTAAAACTTGGCTCGTTTGATCCTTATGTGAAATATCAGGAGTGCTGTCGAATATCATGGAAAAGTACTTTGCTTCTTTTACTTGCTTGATGACTTTGCTTCTTACGTTTTCTCCCAAAATTTCTATAAACTCGTTCTGAATAGTAGGAGACAGATAGGAAGTAGCAAACTTGTTTCCCAGATGGATTCTTAGATGATGTTCACGTAGCACTGGATCATATTTCGCCAACAAATCAACTAGCTCTAAAAAATTTCCTCTATTTTCCGTAAAGCCAAATTCTGTTTAGCTAAGAATCTAATAATATCAAGCAATCTTGAAAGGATTTCCTTCCACTTTTTCACTTGGCTTTCAACAACTTCTTCTTTTTTATCAATTGTTGCTCCACGAGCAATCCTAATTTCCAACTCCTTCCATTGTGTGAAATTCCGAACGTGAGCTGCACTGGATTCGTGCTCGGATATTCAAGGATTCAGTTTCCACCATATGTTGAATCCATCCTCAGAATTAAATTTTGAGTTACTTCTGTCTGAAAACAGTTTGCAACAAAAGCAGTAAAGAGGATTAACTTGCCGCCGATACAAAGGGATGGATTAACGTCTCCAGTAGCTGCAGATATGGTTGATGAGCAGACCCAAAAGTGCCGCCCCCCCAAAAGTGCCGCCCCCCCAAAGTGCCGCCCGCGGACCGCCCCCCCCCCCTAGCTACGCTAGTGCTAATAATTAAGCTTTTTGGCTTTCATATGAGTGATTTTATTATGAATATGTTTCATTAACTTGATACCTCATTGATTTTTATTTTTAATTTGAGTTGATACCTGATTTAATTGAAATTTTATTAGAGTAGTTTGATTTATTGTTGTTCGTGATTTTTATTTTAGAGTACTTTCATTACTGATTTCTTATACTGAATTATCCATCATTTTAGTTTTCATGATTTTGTGCGATTCATATTTGACATATTTTTATGTTTGTTTTCAGCCATTTCTAATTTACTTTCTCAAGTACTAAGAGCATTTTAATATTATTTTTACATTTACTTGAATTTATTTTCTTTGCATTTATGATATCTAGCAAATAGCAGTTTGAAGTGCAGATATAAAGAAACATGTTTCGCATTGTCAATTTGATATGCTAATTAATTTTTTGATATTTCTAGCTAAGATAAGAAATGAAATTTTGCAAAATATTTTGTTAACATCTCACAAATTTTCATATAAGCAACCAGGGGGAGTATTGTAACAATGACTTGAGTGAGTATTACTCGCCAAACGTGAGCCAATTGCAGGGAACCTGTGAGGGTCAATGCCTTAGGCTTGAACCAATAAGAGAACCTGTGAGACGTGGCATCATGAAGAGGTGGTGCCCTTTGTGGGCGACACAGTGTGAAAAGACAGTCTGGGTTTGGAGAGAGTTAAGTGTAGGTGAGTTTGGGTGTCATCTCCTCATATGACGGGGTATAATGTGAGTACTTTTTAGACTTTATCCACTTCACGAAATATATTGTGATTCATGTGAACCCTGGCTAGCTAGCTAGGAACATATGTTATTGTTTTGAAAGTGAAACTGTTCATTTTGAGTAGTAGGTAGTAGGCAGCTACCAAACAAGGAGGTACTACCGCCTGGGAAGATATTGGAAGCATAATGTATTGTGTAATGGTAGACCCTGCTGCCAAATGGCATCACGAAAATTGTGACCAAGTCCCAGGTTGCTGATCTGACTTTCTGCCTCATTTACACACAATTGCAGGGTCTCAATTGTTTCTCTTACTTTTGACAACACAACATACATATATTGTTTCTCTCCTTTGATCTTGTTTTAATCATTTTTATATTTATGGTTCTATTTTATTATTATTATTATTATTATTATTATTATTATTATTATTATTATTATTATTATTATTATTATTATTATTATTATTATTATTATTATTATTATTATTATTATTATTATTACATTTTCACCCCCGGCCACGATGTGGGTCAGTGATCTGTGCCCGGGTGGGCTAATCCCCGTAAAAAAAAAATCAACGAAGAACCATTGTGATTAGTTCTCAATTCCCCTTTGCTGAGTAAGACATTGCCATGCATGTCTTTTGCATTATGCAGTGATACAGTGACCCTTAGAAATAGAATAGTCCTATTCCCCAGCTATCAGCCTTCCTCTGCCTATCCATCCCCTCAGTCTCCCCTTGGTGTGAGGGCCAACTGTAGGCTTCACCACTGACCACAACCTCCCCTCGTTCCCCTACCACATTCCTTAACACCCCTCAGGCAGCCTCAAACATAAACAAGTACCTCCCTCACTCCCTCCTTTCCTCAATTCTTCCTCCACCTCCTTAGTTTTTTTTTTTAGTTTAACAAATTTATTGGCAGAGCTTGTAGTACAGTTTGCCTATTCTGAGTAATTCAGTCAGGTCTTGACACTGAGGGTGGTATCACTTCTCACTGTCACGCAGGACAGAGGTTCACACACAAAGAAATACATCATATTCATTAACAACTATAAATGTATATAGGTCAGGTTCATATGGATAATGTCGCTGTTCAGTGCCATGCAGGACAGAGGGTCGTACACAAAGAGTTGCATCATATTCATTGACAGTACATATACATGTATGTAAACACACACACACACATATGCATACATATACGTATATACATACACATATACATGTACACGTACATATACATGCACACACGCACACATACATATATATACGTCGGTCAGATTCATGTAGGTAATGTCACTTTTCACTGCCATACAGGACAGAGGTTCGTACACAAAGAATGCATCATATTCATTGACACTATAGTATATAGGTTAGATTCATGTGGGTAATGCCACTGTTCACTGCCACGCAGGACAGAGGTTCGTACACAAAGAAGGAAATACATCACATTCACCAGCAGCATATATAGGTCAGTGGATCACATACATTGGAGTCATATTCTAATTGAAGACTAATCAGTGTGGGCTAGCAAATTTGGGATAAACAGCAAGAATGTCCTCAAGCACACCTGATTCAATGAAGTAATTACATAGTTCAAGATACAGTAAGTCAGGTGGCCTGAAGTCTTTGACAGTGTCACATTCAATAACATAGTGTTCAAGTGTATGCTTTAAAGGTTTATCACAAAGTTTACATGCTGAGTGTTCCAGTATGGGTACAGCGTTACTAACTTGCCAGATGTGTCTGTATCCTAGCCTAATTCTGGCCACGACTACATCACATTGTCTGCCTCCACCATCTTATGAGTATGACGAACAGAAAAAGAACAGAAGAAAAGAGAATAAAAGAAATATAAGAAGTACTAAAAAAGTAAATAAATAAATGAATAAGAAATAAAAAGAATAGAATATTAATAATAAAATTTTATAATTGTTACAGGAGAACGCAACGGTGTTGGCTCTGTATCCCCTGGCGTCCTTGTACACCGCTTGGCTTTACAAGACCGAGGTAATTTCAAGACGTTTTTTGCACAGGTACCTTATTCCTGTACACACTTGTGTGACGATAAGACTAACCATTTTACGAAGAGAAAGTTTGATCCTCCTGTGGTTCCCGACACCCAAGTCCCCACACTCGTCTCAGCGTATTGTCCAGGAGCTATAGTGACACTCACTTGAGGATATCATCTCTGATATATTTGTATTGATATTTTAACTACATTTGTTCGTTTCACAGCTTCATCCTAACCTTCTAACACACACACACACACACACATATATAAATATATATATATATATATATATATATATATATATATATATATATACATATATATATATATATATATATATATATATATATATATATATATATATATATATATATATATATATATATATATATATATATATATATATATATATATATATACAAGTAAATCACTGTAGGTGCACGTGATCTAGGTATATGATATTCCCAGCGCCGTGTAATTCACATCTTCAGGGGTGAGACTGTGCAGTCAGGTATAGACATATATATATATATATATATATATATATATATATATATATATATATATATATATATATATATATATATATATATATATATATATATATATATATATATATATATATATATATATATATATACATATATATATATTTTTTTTTTTTTTTTTTTTTGTAGATCCACAATGGAAACGTGGCTAAGATAAATCTTGATAAAATCACACAGGAAAAGGGGAAACAGTGGAGCACCTTACCTTACGTCTTTATTCAAGACATCAAGACATCTTCAATGGCGTACCGTGATTGCACTGATGGTTGGTTGGTAAAATGGAGAGAAGAGAGCATTAGCTCTGAGGGTGCAAGAAAGGTACAGTACAAGGTAAAGTTCAAAAGTGCAACACCTTGCATTGATGAGGCATGCTCAACAGCGATGCCGCCAAAGCCACACTGACTGTGGAATGAGCGGTTAGGGAACAAACTCGGAGAATGATACACAGGAAGTGGGGGATGTTTTCTTTCTTTCTTTTTAATAACACCCCTGTTATATATGTGTATGTTTATATGCTGCCTTTATTGATTATATATACAATATATATTATGTTACTTCTTACCAAAGTTAGAATATGTTTAGGCCTATGCAATCACGAATGTGTTAGGTACGTTGTACGACAACAACAACAACAACAAACTACCTGAGTAAGAGTCAGCATGTGGCTTTTCCTTCTCCCATTAATTCATGTAAGATACTACAATGGCGACGAGGATGGGATTCAAAAAGTGTTGGTGAAGTCCTTGAAGAGAGGATAGTGACCACTGAAGGGAAGGCGACTCTGAACCTGGAGAATTTGAGTGAAGAGAGCAACCATGGCTGGCGTCAGTGGATACATCGGACGAGTAGGGGAGTATGATGCAGACAAGGAGAACTTCACATCATATTGTGACAGAATGGACTTCCTCTTCCTGGCAAATGAATTAAGGGACGACAGTGGTGATGCTCAGAGGAAGAAGGCCCTTGAAGAGAAAAGGAAAGCAATCTTTTTGACAGAGGTAAGAGCTAATGCTCATGCTACTCTGGTCAATCTGCTTGCTCCAGACAAACCCAAAGACTCCTCACTGATTCAGATTACCAAGATTCTGAAGCAACCTTTTGATCCTGCTCCACTTGAGATTGCTGAAAGTTACAAATTTGGCACAAGAGATAGAGGGAAAGATGAATCAGTAAGTGAATATATAGTAGCTTTGAAGAAGTTATCCATTCACTGTAACTTTGGACAGTTCTTGAACCGAGCTCTAAGAGACAGGTTTGTGATAGGTCTGAATTATGAAAAAATACAGAATAAGTTAATGAACACCACCACTAACTTAACCTTTGAAAAAGGATCTCAGATAGCTATAAACATGGAATTAGCAGAGGAAACACCAGAGAATTTGTTCCCAATACTGGTAGTGAAAGAGTTGGCAGTAGTGGCTCATTGTGTAAAGTAATTGTAGCTAAAAGGAAGAATAATGCCACAAAACAAGGAGCACATGCTGATTTAAAATGTAAGAGATGCCTTGGGAAACATGAAAACTTTCAGTGTACGTTCAAAAATTCAAGATGTTACACTTGTCAACGTATTGGACATATTGCTCCTGCCTGTGAGTAAGAAATTATAGCCCCTGCCAGAAGTGATAAAGGTAGAGTGTATGTCGTTGAAGGTGATGAGAAGGAAATGATAAACAGTATTCATGAGAGTGTTAGTAATTTTAAACCTGATAATGGTGAGAGTGCCCATGTATTTACTTTTGACACCAGTCATGAAGAGAAAGTTAAACATAGGTATAATGTGGACTTGTGCATTAATGACACACCTGTAACCATGGAAGTGGATACTGCAGCTGATTTCTGCATAATGAGTAGAGTTATGTATGAGAAGCTATTTGCACATGTGCCTTTAGAAGACTCATTTCAGGACGCTATCATCCTCCCAAATTCTGAAATAAATATGGTAGGCCTCACCATTTCCTCCAATATGTCCTGGAAATCACACATCCTTAGTATAACTAAAGCTGAGATGGACTGGAAGGAGATATTTAGTGTTAGAATGTGTAACAGTATTCCAGTTCTTGAGAAATTGCTTGAAAAATACAAGATTTTATTTGTTAAGGGACAGGATGGTATAAAGGGTTATGAAGCTCATATCACCATTGAGAAAGATGTTACACCCATAATGCTAAGTCCAGACCTGTTCCTTATGCATTGAAAGGTGAGGTTGAGAAGGAATTAGACAGACTTGTGAGTGATGGAATTATTGTGAAAACCGCCAAGAGCAATTGGGCTGCTCCTATAGTAATTGTACCTAAAGCTGATAAATCTGTCAGACTATGTGGTGATTATAAAGTTACCATTAATCAAGCTGTTGAGGACGAGCAATATCCCTTACCCATGTCTCAAGATTTGTTTGCTGCACTAACAGGTCCCAAGCATATGCTCAGGTCTTTGTTGATGCTGAAAGTCAACAGTACCTTACCATCAACACTCATAAGGATTGTATAAGTTCAAAAGGTTGCCTTATGGTGTTAAAAGTGCACCATATTTATTTCAGTGCATCATGGACAAAATTCTTGTGGGTCTTCCCAATGTGTTATGTTTTCAGGATGATGTCCTTATTGTTGACAGTGTCATCCAAAATCATGTCAAAATCCTAGCCACAGTATTCGAAAGATTGTTGGCACACAATGTCAGGCTTAACAAGAGCAAATGTTCATTCCTAGCTAAAGAAGTACCTTATCTTGGATACAAAGTGAATGCAGAAGGGCTGAGACCTGTAGAAGATAAAGTAAGAGCCATAGTAAATTTACCTGTTCGCAAAAATGTCAGTGAATTAAAAGCTTTCCTGAGTATGATACAGTATTATTCAAGGTTCTTGAGTGGACTTTCACCAGTTTTAGCCCCTCTGCATGAACTGTTAAAGAAAGGGATTCCATGGAAATGGAACAGTGCAACTCAGAAGTCATTTGAAGATTGTAAAGCTGCTCTGTCTAGTACTGATGTTTTGGTCCACTATGATAGCAGTAGAACACTAAAGCTTGCTTGTGATGCATCAGGCTATGGATTAGGTGCTGTCATAAGTCACATAATGGATAACGGTGAAGAAAGACCCATTGCATATGCCGCAAGAACTCTTACCCAAAGCAAGAAAAATTATGCACAAATAGAGAAAGAGGCTTTGTCTATCATATTTGGAGTAAAGAAATTTCACCAGTATTTAGATGGTAGGAATTTTGTCTTAATAACTGATTACAAGCCTCTCTTGGCAATTTTGGGTCCTAAATCACCTGTTTCCACACTTGCTGCAGCAAGAATGCAGAGATGGGCTGTGATATTGTCTGCAAATGACTATTAGATACAGTACAGACGTTCAGAGGATCATTCCAATGCAGATGCTTTGTCCAGGTTGCCATGTAGCAGATCAAATGATGGAGTAGAGCCTAAGGTTTATCCTGTAACCATATTAGCAGAAGATTTTCCAGTCACCTCCAGAATGATTGCTCATGAAACTAGGAAAGATGTTGTGTTAGGAAGAGTCCTGGAATATACACTAAATGGATGCCCAAGATATTTGTCCATCCTTAGACTTTCAACCGTATCATTTTGAGGAGATGTCAATTATCAGTAGAACAGGGATGTGTGTTGTGGGGCATGAGAGTGTTAATTCCACAGTGTTTTAGAGGGCAAATCTTGAATGAACTGCATTTTGAACATCCAGGTATATGTGCTATGAAAGCATTGACCAGAAGTTTTGTATGGTGGCATAAACTGGATGGTGAACTAGAAATGATGGTACGCGAGTGCTTTCTTTGTCAGAATGTTAGGAGTATGCCACCCAGCACACCTTTGAAAACCTGGAACTGGCCTACCCGTCCCTTCCAAAGAGTACACATTGACTTCTGTGATAAGGGAAAAGACAAATTTTTTGTATTAATTGACAATCATTCAAAGTGGATTGATGTTAAGCACATGTACAGTACTAATGCTGGTAGCACCATTGATGAATTAAGATTAATATTTTCTGAACATGGAACACCAAAAGAGGTAGTATCTGACAATGGTCCTCCATTCCAATCATCAGAGTATAAAAACTTCATGAGACTCAACGGTGCAAAGCATATACTGACCCCACCCTATCATCCTGCCTCTTATGGTGCAGCTGAGAGATCAGTTAGAATTGTAAAGGAAGCACTTTCCAAGCAGGTAATTCAAGGAACTGTAGAAAATCAATGAAACACAGACTAGCAAATTTCTTACTCAGATACAGAACCACACCACATAGTGTGACAGGATGTACTCCTACAGAGTTAATGATGAAGAAACAGTTGAAAACAAGATTAAGTTTAGTTAAGCCAAGTCTGTTTGAAGTTGTAGAGAGGAAACAAGCTCAGCAAAAGATGTATCATGATAAGAGTTCCAGTGAAAGAGTGTTCAAGGTAAATGATAGGGTGAGAGTTAGGAACATG